AGGTGCATAGCATTGGATGACGTTCATTGAAATGCCCTCTTTCTTTGTTTTGAAGGAGGCTTTGATGATCCTTGGTCCATGAGATTCCCATCCTATAAGTGACTTTTGTACCTGTTTGAACAGTATCAATGCAACTCCTTGTGTATGTGGGGCATTTTTTTCTTCATGGCCGGAGTATAACAGAAGCTCTCCTGAAGCTAGTCGTTGTTGTCCAACTTGCGTCCATTGTTTCACTAATCCCAAGCACCTCTAGGTTGTATCTCCTCATTTCTGCAGCAATTTGGAGGGCTCTTCCGGTGTCCCAAATTGTACGAACATTCCATGTACCTAAATAAATGGTCGCTCTGCTTGTCAGAAGGGACATCGGTCTCGTAACTTCTGAAGGAATTCGACTTTCATCATGAGGCGTCATAGTTCTTCTAAATGAAGACCTGACTCACGGGGCAGAGTTTAAAAAGTTCGAATAATTTTTTTGTTTAGCGTTTTTTTAGCGAGTTAGTTTTCTACGGGATGAGGATGCTAACCCCATGACCAACCCTCCTTCTTTATCCGGGCTTGGGACTGGCAGTAGCCCCCGGAGTGACTCCAGGCGGAGTTAATATTTGTTCTTGCTTTATTTAAATTCATAAAGGGAACCAATTGCAAGGACGAAATTTATTATTTTGAATACATGACAGGGAATTTCTAAAGCATGTAGTCTGACTAACATGTCCAAATATAACTTTTTAGTACATGATACTGTAGTCAAAGAACTGCTACTATCCAGTTGACGAGTCCCAATTAGGGCGAAATGCGCGTTCTATATTCCACTGCTAGTTACCATCTATCTCTGCCTATGTATATGACTGTTTTAGTAAGTAGATTTTTGAGATACAACTAATTGTACGAAATGTGTTTAATAGACATGATCACTTTTCTAACATACCAATTTTTTTATATGTACAAATAGCGGAGAATATAATTAGTACCTAATATCGGCCTCTAACATATACTGAAAGTTTGATTACATAAATTTATCAGATTTGATGCCTACATTCAACTTTTGAAGTGAAAGAAATTAAACTTTAATTCAGCTTGTAAACTCATCTTTAAATAACAGTGGAGTTGTATTTTATTTTCAAAGTAATAAAAATTCCTAGTGGAATATTGAAAGATGTAAAAATACATAATCGAGAGTACTAAAAGATCTGTCTACTATTTAGTAAAGTTCGGTAAACATATATTAAGAAATCCGATTGTTTCACACATAATCAAATATATTGACCATAAAATGAGACCGTCAGTTTGCAGGGTATAAGTTAGAAGTAGTTTACAAAGGGCGAAATTATACAAGGTGAGGTCAAACTAGGAAGGAGCAAAGTTGTTAAACGAGGAATATCCAGAAAGTTATGAAGTCTTAAATTGACTATCTGAAATGAACTAATATGTCATTCATAAAGAGCGGCCTGCTTGAGCACCTGTTCCTGCCATCTAGATATTTCAACAAGTTATCTATTTTTTGTTTGTTTTAATATATCATTATGTTTACTAATCGCATAACCTATTCTGCTGCGTTTCTGAAAAGTGTACAACATTTCGTTGTCAAAGTTACAAAAAACTCAATAAGAGACAATGTGGTTGCTGAAAAAATATAGCGAAAATAATGCACATTATTCAGATGTTCATTTACTGAACTGCTAGCATTTAACTGGCGATCACTCAATATTTATCGCCAGGACCGACTAAGAAGAAAGAAAGGGAAACGTTTTCAAATACTTTACGCTGAAAATTCTATATTGTACCAAAAATATAATATTGAATAAAGCTGATAATAATAATAGTAAACTAATCATAAATACCTACAGAAACTTGATTTCACTTACTCAGAAACTAGATGGACTTATGACATATGGCGTCAGGTAGCAATCAGGAAAGATTTATCCATAAAAACAGGATTCTTGTTTCCATACTTAAATTACATATGAATAATTTCTTTAGTTTAACGTCAGCCAGTTAAACCGTTTCAGTGCAAAGTTCTCATTCAATCAAGTCAGTGAGATAGCCACAACTTAGTTTAAGCCATACAATTCACCAAATCGTGCATCAAGTAACCAACCAATTAGATGACTATTAGATACAAAACAACTTTACTCCACCATGATATTGGACTGAATATAATTCTTAATATGAAATACTTTTAAGTCGTAAAACAAAAGTAGAGAGCAACGCAGTTGGAAAATCATAGTATCTACTTATGCGTGCAATAAAGTTTCACATAGACTTATTGTGTAAAGGCTTTTTCGATACTAATTCGTCAAATGAATCAAAATGGACGAAATCAACTTGAATTCTCAAATTAATAGGTAAAAACCAGTTATGTAAGTATACAGAGTTTGAAAAGCCAAGATAGCCTTCAGTACATTATTCTAGAGAATCTGACAATACTTTTAATATGCGAGTAAAATCCACCAACACTAAGTTTGAAAACAAATTCGATAAAAGAACGAATGATACATATTTCGGTTCACAGGAGTTGAATACCATTATAACTCAAAGTCATGATTTGGAAATAAAAGTAAATAAAGTGTTTGTTGAAAATGAAATTTAACTAAAATACCAGGAAGTACTAAAAAAATGCTTTATTCGGGAGTAAGACTCCTCCTTATTAGGACAGTACAGATTATCTTCAGTTTTCGTAGGGAGTGAAATGTCTTTAAACAACTAAAGTCAAAAGTTAAGGATTGCCAAATTTTTTTAAATTAGGTCGATATCTGTTTTATAATGTTGGCATTACCTAATCACGTGATACGAATTATAGTCAATGTGAACATTTCAATAAGTTGGTTAGTCCAATTAATAAAAAGTTGATTTATTAATAAATAATGAAATTATGTATAAATTTTCGGAAAAGAAACTTGATTAAAAGACCATTATTTAACAAAATATTACTATGCAGCACAAATAATAATGAATGTGCTTCAACAAGAATTTTAGAAGAGTATAACATCATGATCTACTTACAAGAATTCAGAAAGAAACGAAGTGAATAATATAGTTTTATACAGTCCAACTAACTGACATTCCATCGTAATGTATTATCTGATGGTTTATCACTATACTGTTTCTTTTCTAACTCTTCAATACGTTCTTGTTTTCTTCTAACTTTTGCAAGATCTCCAATCCCACGTGACTCACTTTCAGCTAATCGGCGTTCGATAGCTTCTAAATGTAATCGTCTACGAGTCTCTAAGTCTACGGGTCCCCCACCACCGCCACGTTCCGAGTAGGATTCATAACGGATCTGTGAGTTGTCGTCGACGTCGGAGCTACGGAAACAACAGAACAGGCGTTCACACTAAGAAGAAATTGAAATAGAAAGTACTCTCATTATAGAATCATTTTGTTAAATAGAAATCTAAGCTAAATAAATTTTTTAACTAAGCCAGAAAACTATTAGGTAAACCAATTTGTCACTGAATAATGCTGAATCCTGCATTGTAGTCTTTAGGTAGTGATTAAATTCTACAGGTGGAGTTGAAGTGCAGCTACCACTTTTAGGTGACTCAACATCAGTTTGATAGATCAGTTATTCCCAGAACAACTTAACGGTGACATCCTCAATTACGGCGCTAATTCGAATCCCACGAGGAACATCGGTTCAATCAAGGTTACAAATATACTTTAATGATGATGGATTCAAACTAGTAAGAAATGAAGGCTCAGAGCTTTCTAGAATTCGACCCAGTAACCGATTAGTTGTGTCATGCCTGGAAAAAACCAGATGTGGGAGTGTGCTAGGTCTATAAACTTATAAGGGGTCTTGATATAAGTAGGAATATTTGTCTAGTCCCCTCCTAATATTAAAAGCGACCTATACCATTCTCTTATTTGCTGAAGTGTCGACTAATACACAATCCAGCTTAGAGAACAAAACTCCACCAAAATCATCCACCTGAGCTACAAATCTTCTCCATCATCACGCAATCCACTTTGTCAATCAGTTACAATAAGTATGTTTGACTCGATCTGTGTAATCAGAGTTTATGTAAAAGTCATGCTGTCTATATGAGAGTTAATGATACAACCTGGCTACCGAGACTCAATTAGACAAAGCTTAATTTCAAACCAGTACCTTGTTGGTTAAAAGCTGAGCGTCAGATTAGCCAGAATAACAAATCCGAGGTTGGTTAACGTAAGAAAACAGTCTTGACTTCTAGGAATATTTATGTATGAATACATACAAATAATAAATGGTACTATAACAAAAAATAATTAGTTTAATTTAGAAATCACATTGAGGGTGATAAACTTAGCATAGACGAGTAAAATGTGACTAGTTCAATATGGCTGGACGTGCAAAATGTGTATCGACCAATCAGAAAACAGTTGGTTCACGATTATTCGATGAAGCGTACGAAAGAGGATTGTGACGTAAAAACGCGTTACCCATGAGTAATACAGTTATAAAACATAAATCTAACATCGAGTGTTTTAGCCATTAAGCCAAAGCTATACATTAATGTCATTTTGTAAAAAAGGGTTTGATTCTCATTTCTTGGGTATCAGGCACATTTTAAATGTGAAGGCTTATTTTACAACCTGGTTGCCCAAAGAGAAGCAGGTGGGGTGGGGTTCGAGCCCGGGACTTGATGGCTGAAAGTTGAACACCTTAGCTACAAGCCCATGGCTCTATTGACTTTCCCTTCTAGAATTTATACAAACGTTTGTCTTGGTATACTACACTTAAGAGGGAGGCATAAATACTGAACTGTTTTTCGTCCAGTCTTTAAGTAAAAACAATCTGAGTTGGTTTTTGTCATAATTTTCTACGTTTCACTATGTTTGTCGTGCATTGTAAATGTGGATTAAGACTGATTTCACTTCTGACTCACTGATAATATTAATTCTTGATTTGTTTAGAATTATCCATGTTCAGAGATAATTTTCAGTAGTGACTAACTAATGACGAAAAAGAATTAAATTAAGAGTTAGCTACATGACTTTCTCAGTCGTACAAACGCTTAAATTTTGACAATCTGTAAAGAGACTGGTATTCTACTCCACATCTATTTTAGTTTGAGCTGGACATAGATATCTTTATCAAACAATTGTTCAGTCAATCAATAACAAAGTAACAGAGCAAGAACAATTGCCAAAAGGATTATTCATAATTTGAGTCTTATTTTACACAAATTATCATACAAAGAATTTGTCAAAATAGCTTGTTTCATGTGTATTGAGGGTGAGTGGTTGGGTGGTGGGGTATGACGAGTTTTCATGAAATTATTCACATTTGTCTTGTTGAGTACAATAGTCATCACCATCTTCATCGTCTTCAGATGAGGATGTCACGCTTAATGCACCATCAATCTTTTCCATTTCACACTTAGGGCAATCACACCAAAACAAATAATTTGATGATAAGTATTTACGTCTTGTGTGACGACAACGTGATTGTAGACAATGATCCAAATAGGAGATAGTGACTTCTTCACCTTCTTGAATCGGTGTCAATGCAACCACAGATAATCGACTATTGACTCCACTGAAACGAATTATTGCATTCGGTGAACAACTATGATTAATCCGACCTAAGCGGCAAAGAAGAAAAAGTAATGACGATCAAGCCTTATAATATAGCAAACTAGAAATTAGTATTCAGTGATAGGGAATATACGAAAATTGTATACTACACTGATTTCTTTCTGGCACTGATCCGTATTCATACTTAAATATTCATGGACTTAACAATCCACATATCAAACTTCTACGTTCAAATACTGCTAGGTAGGGAAGGATAAAATACCGTCGTCATGAGCCAATTGGGCTACACTGGCTAGAACAAAAGTTCCTCAAGGTTTAACCATGCCAGACAGGTCGGTTGAAGGGCGGTAGGACTAAAAGCAACAAGCCCAAGGTTTGAGGGCAAAATCGTACTGCTGACTGTACAGAGGTGTGACGACAGTAAGATGTTTCCTTCGGACAACCAGCATAACAGCGATGCTGCCTTCCCACAAGGAAGGGTGGGGTTGGAAAAATGCACATCTCGCCTTATACCATGGATCTTCGTCTCCAGTGGTAAGGTCTCAAGTACGGAGCTGACACAAAAATGCTGTGTGACCGGCCTCAAGCAGTTGTCCTTTGGGCACTGCCATACAGATTAATGATTTCTTCTAGAATAGAAATTCTTCGTCTCTCCAGTGCTACGGCTTGTTTAAGTTACAGCCTATAAGATCAAACACTTAGACAAAAGCACATTCTAGTTACCATCATATATGTGACTTCGATAAGGATGTTAACGACTTTTCTTGCACCTAAAAATTCTTTCTTAAACCTAATAATTATCAGTGGACGCTCTCAGGTCACTAAGACCACCTATAATCCAATTCCCTTTTCAAGTACCTCCAGAACCCTTTCACGATGTGAGCGGCCGGGAAGTGATAACCACATTCATACCTATAACAGCACTCAACACCACTGTATTCATAATCAATCCCCCTCTTTAATTCCGATTATTTCCCCTATATCGACTTTCAACACTAAACTTTCTCTTATGGCTTGCTTCTCAAGTGTCACCATAGCCAGATTCTAGTACTCAAGACACTGTCCAAGGTCTATTGAAACTTCGCTCCAAACTACACATTGGAACCTTCCGCGTACGTACCCTGTGTCAAATAGGCCAACGGGACTTCTTGACTAAGACCCTAGAATCTCCTAACATAGATGCATGCTGTATCTCCGAAAAACACATGCAGGACCCTGATGTGGTCATAAACTTGACCTTATCTAGCCAAAGCAGAGCCGATGAGATACACCCGGATTGGCTTGACTAATATAGCGTTTAAAATACTAGCCTCAATAATTATCGAACACCTAACAAAGACTCGTGAACTGTAAACACGAGAAAATCAGACAGGCTTCAGACCTGGTCGTGGTTGCATCAACCACATATTTGCCATTCGTCAGATCGTAGAGCACAGGCATGCTTATCGGCGTCCGACAATGGTTTTCCTCGACTTAAAAGCAGCATTTGACTCCGTAACTGAGAAATTTCATCAAAGACCTACTGCTGGAAACAACGTTCTCGTCATTTGAATTTTCGGGAATTATTCTCCTACCAGAAGATCCACTTATTGTCTTAGAATATGCAGATGATACAGCTCTGTATGGTGAAGACGCTGGTAAAATGCAGTCTTCTGGCAGTACTGAGCAACAATGCCAGGATGGTTGGGATGCTGTACTTCCCCCAAATCAAATTTTTGCTTCAGGGTTGGCCTGCGTCAACACCTGAACTAAGGATAGGAAGTGAAATGGTCAAACGCGTCGATAACGTCACTCATCTTGGAAGTTTGATCAGCCCTAACGGGTTGGTGTCTGACGAAATTTCTGAACCGGTTTGAAACGCTCGTTTGGCTTTTGTCAACGTCACCAATGGCGAAGGAGAGATATCCGTCTATCAATTAAGGAACGAGTATACCTCTCAACAGTTCGTCCTGTTTTACTTTACGGCTGCGAAACATGGCCATTAAGAATAGAGGATACTCGTAAGTTACTAGTATTTGATCACAGATGTCTTAGAAATATTGCTTGTATCTGCTGGCATCACTGGGCAAATAAAAGTGAGGTTAGACCGAATGGAGAACATAACTCTAGACTTCCCAACAGAGTATCAAAACATATCAGTCTATTCACATCAAATCGCCGTAAGAGTTTAGCTGAAATACAAAAACGAATCTAAAAATGCTTACTTTGGTAGTAATATAAACCGACCCCTTCGTTGTCCAAAAAAGAACCGACGTGATCATCAATTGCCGAGTATAGCCGGTTGACAAAGGAATTAAATTCATTAGATGTTTGTTCATTCGTTGTATTAACTAATTTTCCAGCCTGATTAACCCAGACACTGAAAGCACTTGTTGCAATACCTTGACCATTACGACTAATTAGACATAAAGCACTTGTAAAATGATTTTTCTCTAATAATGTGTTTATCCCGGCTTTTTGCAGGGTTTGAATGCAATCATCATATGATGTAGCATGACTAAACTTTTGACATAAAAATAAGAGTACTTCAATAAATGCACTATGAATCTCTTCGATATATGTAGCAAACTGATCACCAAGTATTTGATGATAGAGAATATCATTTGCCTTTTCATTGATCATTGCACTTGTACTAGAAACAAACTGTTTTAGTGCTTCAACTAAATGCTGTGAGGTCGATGAACCAATAAGACACGCAGATAGACATGCAGCAGCAATACGAACGAGTAAAAAGATAGTACCACTTTCTGGAGGATAATGAGACTGTCGCCAGATTATGTCTAATTTTTCTAACGGATTTTCCTTGCCTCTTTCGATGGATGCCATACACATTGGAGAATGATATGTAAGAGCAGCTGATTCGAGACAGTTTGGGGAACAGTAGTTAGCTAAGCAATTAGGACAGTGAACAGTTTGGCTACAGTGAAATGATGCCTCTGGATAAGGTAATACAAGCGACGGATTGTTAGTAAGTCTTCTAGCATTCTCCTCCGATGTTTCGAGTGGACATAAACAATGATCGCAAGCTTTATATCCATAGAGCTTGTTCCATGAAAACTGACAGCATATTAGAGGGTCTTCTGAAAAAAGAATGTCTTCAGGATTTATAAATTGAGCAGCAACAAGACCCCTTCCACGAATCGGTCCGAAATCAACTTCTTTTGTGAGATTCATTGGTTTGAATAGACCTACTGTATAAATTACAAAATTATTAGACATCGTTTAGACTTGAATAAACGAAACATACGCTACGCTAAAGAGGCGTATATCCAAATACTTGAGTTAGTACAAACTCAAAGTGGGAATAGTAAAATTAAAGTGTAGTTTTACGTATACAATTGAACATCATAATCTATACAACCTGATTGTAAAGAGAATGATCAACAGAAATTCCGCCCTGACATTATTTTATTTTAACACATAGATATTGGTACAAGGAGGCAACAAACACATAAGCGCCACACAAATCTCATTCGATATGTGTGAGGGCTGTGACACTGCCCGGACCTCCGACCTGAAGGTCTGATCCACAAGGCAGTGGAGCATAGTAAGGAGATGCAGTCCTACGGAAGCCGGTGACCAACGATTGGTTCATACGCCATTTGTTCCCGCAGGATACTGGAGCCCATGTGCACTCTGACATTGATAAGGAATGAAACACAACCGAGTAGTATAAATGCACAAATGTCATAACTAACAGCTGTATTTTTCGCCGTAAGTCTAGAACACCGATTATTTTAGAGAGCGAAATGTATAAAGAAACAGAACTCATATTCAATAACTAAGAGTGCCTAAAAATTATTTATTTGAACACATAAATATTGATACAAAGGGGCGCTGAATACATATGTGCCACACAAGTCACTTGATTTGTGTGTGAGCTGAGATACTGCCCGGGTGCCCAAAACGAAGCAGATGGTCTACTTGGAGGGGTGCACTCGGAGCCTTCGATTTAAAGGACTGATCCACAAGGCAGTGGACAAACATCAGGAGATGCAATCCTATGGTAGCCGGGGACCAACAATTGGTCCGTACGCCATTTGTTTCTTTAGAATCCTGGAGCCCATGTGCACCATTGGTTTGGAATCAGGGTTTGAATCCTCCATATTCATCAACCTGGTTAAAGAGCCAAACATTCGCTTTTCGTCCCCACAATTTCTTAAACAACACCCATGGTGTGAGAGCATTTCGAGAGGGAGAGCGGACTTACCCTACCATCGGCCGTACCAAGGCGTTTGGGGCGTCTAAAAATAAAGTTGGCCTTGTACCTAATCTAACTTTAAAATTAGCATGTAGGTAGTAAAAAAACTTAAATTAAGAGTCTGAATCCGTTAAAAAAGGTTTTAAAGTAATTTTACGTTGGCTTGACGATTAAACCTCGTGATCGCCAACCATGTTTTGATATTTAGACAGTCAATTAGCTTTACAACGACTACATGAACCAAGTTGGGTTTGCATACATGCGAATTTGCATGCATGATTTAGGAACTAGTTCGTCAGATTATTTAATGCAGTGTAATGAATACTTTTTAATATATTTTCTTGAATAATATTTAGGAACTTCGATACCAGCTAGTTTTTTAAGAGACATATAGAGAGTTTAGTCACGTGTCCATGAGTCAGTGAAAAGTATCGATACTACAGTGTTAATCAGAGCGAGTATCTTCGAAAGGCTCCTCTCGAGTTTCAGCAGATGGCGTCAGCACTAAACAAAAAACAGATTTGTACAGTACAAAAATTAAAAACACTTGGTATTCCTAGTAATACATATTAGGTTAAAAAAAAACATACAGAAGACCACATAGAGGAATCATACCAGATCACGAAGTACCTAAATTCCTTTTTCAACAGTGTTGCGACACTTACTATGGTAAGTGTAAATTAGATGGGTGGGTCCCGCGTGAGAATCCTAACCAGTACATATTGGTAACCCAGAGACGCTGATTGATATAAACGATGACCATTCATATTAACACTGGGACACTTATTCTTTATATTGCCATTAATTCTCGATTTTAATATTACTCCACTTTTTACTGAGCAAACATAATCTAAAATTTCGAACAGTGCATTCTTGCTACGTATGATTTTCACTAGAAAAGCACCTTATTGTAAATTCTTATAAAAAATTATTATATCGAAATATATGACTAAAGTCATGCTCAAGTGAACTTCAGTAATGTATAGCTTAATAACATAGCCACAAGTGACTTTACAGATCTAAGTTACGTGCGGAAAAAAGTACTTGAATTTGTGTTAGAATTAAACACCAAGGTGAGTTTTAGCTAATCCATACTTGTTAACGTTTGTAAACTATGTAACAAATTTGTGAGGATATACGTCACTACTTTGTATATAGGATTTCATTGCTGTGGACTTATCCAATGACTTCGTTACGACTTTGTATAAAGTAACTGGCTTGTTTTCAAGAAGCTGGACCTTCACTGGAAAGCAATGTTTCAGGATTAATACAAGATCACCAACTTACTATCCTTATTACTGAAGACTTATTTACGACCGCCTCCACTTTAGTCCCGGTAACGCTTAGTTTCAGTTTGGGAAGGACAGGAGGCTCGATGGCCTATGTTAGTCCTGGCAATGGTGGACTCTCAGTTGATCCAACTTTCTTTTGAAAGAGTCGACGGATGGAGCCTCAACCACGTGCTGAGGTAGTGAATTCCACTCGTTGATGATTCGATGGGAAAGTAGATAGTCAGCTGACAAGTAATTTGTTCTCGGCTTGTAAACACTTTTGGAGTGTTCTCGTAAATTCTCTGTTCTGGAAGACAAGAAAAATGAGGGCATGTTAGGTGCAAATTTATCACTAAGTAATTTGTAGACTGTCGCCTCTAGTTCTGCGATATGACAACGGGAAAAGGTTCAGCTTGGCCAGTCGAGATTCATACGGAAGCTTCGCTATTCCGGGAACCAGCTTAGTCGCCGTTCTCTGAACCTTTTCCAGAAGCTCAGTCTTTTTTAAGCAGGAGCTAGCCGCTTGTATGCAGTACTCAAGTTTAGGACGAACGAACACTGTATACAAAGTCAAAAGCGTCTTAGCGTCGACATGACTAAAAGCCCTACGTATTGACCATAACGTTCTAAAACTTTTGGCGGCTACTGCACGGCAGTGTGCAGTAGTCTTTAAGTCTTGGCTAACGATAACTCCTAAGTCATTATATGTCTGGAAGACAGGTAGCTCAGTGTTATTCATCGTGTACGTATCTGTCCCTTGATGACCGATATGCATCGCAACACACTTGGAAGTATTTATCGGCAACTGCCAGGTTTGAGACCATTCAAATAACTTATTCAGGTCATTTTGAAGTTCTAAGCTATCACTCTTACATCATGTCGTTCTCCATACCTTGACATCGTCAGCATATAGCAAGACCGATGATGATAGGAGACAAGGAAGGTCATTTACATTCAAGAGGAATAGCATTGGTCCCAAAATTGTACCCTGGGGCACTCCACTAAGCACAGTTTCCCAGATAGATAACTTTGAGTTCACCCGAACTCTTTGTTGACGCCCAACTAAGAAGTCTTTTATCCACATCAATAAATTGCCTCCAATCCCGACATTTCTTAACTTATATAACAGCCGGTTGTGCGGAACTTTGTCAAAAGCTTTACTGAAATCAATGAAGGCGACGTCTACAGGTAGCTTTTGGTCCTTAAGAGTGCACCAGCTTTCACGAGCCACTAATAAGTTAGTGAGACAAGAATAACCTATTCTGAAGCCGTGCTGCTTATCCGAGAGGATCCGGTTTTTATCGAGATACTTAAACAGCTCCTTCCGAATAATCTTTTCTAATATTTTAACAATCACACTAGTTAGGCTAACGGGGCGGTAGTTCTCAGGTTTGTGTTTCGTGCCTGTTTTGAAGACAGGACTTACTATGGCGTTTTTCCAGTGTTTCGGTAAACGACCCTGCGTAACGGATAGGTTAAAGCATGTACTTAAAGGGCTTGCAACGAAGTTAGATAATTCCCTCAGTAGCCTAAGATGTAATTCATCGGGCCCCGTGGATTTACCTATGTCAAGCTTATTTAGCAGACCAAAGACATCGAGTTCTTTAATGGTCACGCTATCCAGTGTATGTATGGGGGATCTGTATTCGCTGACGGGAAGGGCGCTTCTATGGTGTATACGTTGCTAAAGTAGTTCGAGAACGCTTGAGCCTTACCAAAGTCGTCCTCCACTAATGATGAAGCAATACTGTCTCCCCATAGAGCAGGAATATTTCCTTTTCTCCTTGTCCTTTGGTTTATATAGGAATACAAGCGTTTAGGACATTCTATGGATTCCTTAACAAGTTTTTCTTCGTACAATTTTCTAGACCTACGGAGGGTCGAGGCACAAGTGTTCCGAGCCTTTCGATACTGAGATTTTGACTCATCAGTCCCCAGTAACCTAAATCTATCCCACATTTTCCTTTTCTTACTGAGAAGGATACGGACCTCCCTACTGAACCATGGTGGTGAGTTTTTCGGCCCCTTTGGTATAGTCCAAGGGATGTGAAGTGTGGTAACTTTTAAGTATGAATTTCGAAATGCGTCCCAGGCCGTTTCAATGGAGGACTCTGGGTCTATTGTCTAATCTATTAACGATGCTGAGTGCACGATGTCTGGTATGTTTGCTTTCCAGACGTTGGGTCTGGACTGGACTGACGCGTCCTCATGACTGGCAGTTATATGGAAGTCGAAAGTTACAACTGCGTGGTCACTTTTACCTAGGGGTGGCATATGATGGAGGTTCGCAACATCATCCTCATAGTGAGTCAGTATAAGATCTAATAAAGATGACTCAGTATCCGGATCGTACCTTGTCGCTTCTTTCACATGTTGCACTAGAGCACATGTGATAACCCCATCAACTAGTTCCCGCTCGAAAGAATTCTCCGGCGATTTAGTTCGCAGATTTTCCCAGTCTACCATAGGTGCATTGAAGTCCCCTAGGATTAGACATCGACCACTTTAGGACCAAGTATTGAGACTGCTTAACAGGATCTCATTTGGCTCACAGCTTGGACTGCGATAGACCAAACCAATCAGCAGCTCTTGTCCCTTGCATTTTAAGCGAAGACTAACTAATTCACACGTCCCACTCTCATGGGATACACTATCGATAATGGTAAATGGGATAGCATTCCTAATGAATAGAGCTATTCCCCCTCCTTTGCGCTTTTGTGTTCTGTCGGCCCTTACTAACGTAAAGCCCTCGAAATCAAGTTCTATACTATCTATAGCCTGTGTCAGCCAGGTTTCTGTTACTGCGATTATGTCTGGCTTTGTAGAGTCAATCTATACACCTAGTTCCGATCGCTTATTAAGTAAGCTTCGTGCATTGGTGTAACAGATCCGAACCCTGTTTAAGTGCCTTCGTGCTTCACCCAGAGTGGCTTCGGCATCATTCTCTGTAGGAGTCTTACAACCCGAAAATTTACAATTTTCAGGTCCTTTTCGCCAGCGTCTAGCCTAAGTTGTAGTTCTTTCTCGGCTCCCCGTCTTTTAACACGGTTTGCCAACGGTAAGTCCTTTCGGGTAAAGACTCCTGAACCCTTTAATTTGTGTCCATTTTGTAAAATTAGGTCACGTTCGTTCGGAGAGACGAATACTACTTTAAGCAGTCTGGAATGATTTGGTTTCGAGTCCGCTAGACTACCTAGTTTGTACACCTTTAGCAAGATGACCCCGGTCATATTTTGAGGCATGAGTTGATTAAGCAGCTGCCTAATCAGTACAATGTCATGCTCAAAACGAGCTTTAGGTTCAGAGCTCTCGCTCTCCTTGATTCTATGAAAAATAGCTGATCTGTCGCTATGATCAGCTTTCGATTTTTCAACCACTTTTACGGGGGCAGGTTTCCCTTTTATATCCCTACTTTTCTTCCTTACAACCTTTACCAATTCGTCAACGGTGCTGGTAGAAGCAATAACAGTTGCGTCAAACTTAGTATTGGGTTTTGGGGGGGTTGTCGACGACCTGAGAGGTCGTGTTATGTTTACCGTTTGAAACCGATCGAGCCTTGCGATTGCGGCTTCTAGGTGTTTCCGGTTGGATCCCATCTGAGAGACGGGGAACAGAAGACCCTACTTTTCTTAAGCTTTTGTTTAAGGCAAGCCACTTTGGAGACTGCTTTTCCTTCTTTGACGGGCGTGAGTCATCTATCACCGGACTAACCTTAGTTTCCTTCACGTTGATTTGCGTGTCGACAGATCGAGTTCTGATTGACGCGTTCCGACTATGCTTGCTAAAACACTTCTTTGCAGCATCAACCAGTGAGATGGCCTCGGTTAGCAAGCTGTTTGCATCCGAGCAGCACTGTTGACAAAACCACACACAACCCTTCTTACTGAACCGTTTGAAAACAGCAGGCGTTAAGTTCGTGCAAACTTCGTGGTACCAGCCTTTGCACTCGTCGCACTGCATGCCGCTTTCAACAGGATAACGACAACCCGGACGTTGACAACTGCTTTTTTTTACATTGTCCGGTCATTTAGGAGGGGTTCTTTTTCAAAATGCGATGATACTCAGAAACAAAAAAATAATCAATGACCAAAAAGTGAAGAGCTGTAGAGCGCTAGGACCAAAAGTACTAACAGATACAGTTGAAAAAGTACTCAAGAGTACCAACGACAAAACGGTAAAAACGATACTCTAGTCGAATACTTTAACTGAAATAAATTCAATTAAAGTGAAATAGTAGTCTTGATACGTAATAAACGATCAAAACAAACAAATTTACTCAGCGAGGAAAAATAACACTGTCCTTTTTAAATAGCGCTTAACTCGTAAACCCCTCTCAAGTTTTTGGAGCTAGCAAATCTTACGATCCTTAGATAAAGTTCAACTTTAAACATGGGAACCAAGACGATCAGCAAAGGTTATATAAAGTATTCCACAATATCGAATCACACTAAGGTTCTATAACTGCTTCTACAGAGAATGATGCCGATGCCACTATGGATGCAACACAAATGCACGGAGCTTGCTCAATAAGCGATCAGAACTAGGTGTACAGAATGACTCTACCAAGTTAGATGTAATCGCAGACGCTGAAACTTGGCTGAAGCAACGTTTAGTTAGTAAGGAACTTAGTTTTGAAAGTTTCACTTTAGTATGGGCCGACAGAATTCCGAAGTGTAAATGAGGAGTAACTCTATTTATTAGGAATATTATCCCATCGATAGTCTGTCTCATGATGTTGGAACGTATGAATTAGTTGATTACCTCTTGAAATGCAAAGGACAAGGCAGAAAATGGACCAAGTCAAGATTTATTCACTGGCGTTCTCGTGGTATCGAAAGGATACCGAGATCGTGCCAGGTTACAAGCTTGGTTACAGAAGGTAACCGAATTCGCGCGAAATTACAATCGAAGTGTAAGAACAAGAATGGAAGCCCAATGTAGCTGTCATTAGCACAGTCAAACAAAAGCACATTAAAACGAACACTGGTACAACTGTTTATAATAATAATTGTTTTTATTGAACCAGTCGTGTTCTCGTAGTAAACATGAGTCCATACAGGACCCTCCCGCTAGAAAGGGTTTACACTTTCGATAAATAGCGGTTTAACTCGTGGGACTGATCGGCTGACGAGCGATTGTAGGACGAACGGATTGGCGAACAGGAAAGCGATCGTTGATCGTCGAGTTGCCAACGAAGGTCATTTTCGGAGAACGGTACCAGGAGTGACGTGCTGTACTTGGTACTTGAGTTGGCATGCTACCCGAGTGGTTTGTATCCAGAATCTGAAGATGGCGTTCGTAGGGAATGCGGACCAGAAACGCTGCAGGCGTAGGACCAAACCACGTTGAGCCGAAAGACCAGAAGCGACCGCAACGACCAAGTTCGAGACCAAGCGTGTGCCAAACATTCAAACCAATATATCGACTGAGTGCGTTGACAAGAGCGTGGGTGGCCAGTCCAGCTTTCGCCAAAGTTGACTGAAGTCGACGGAACCAAACTGAGATGGTCGAAGGCGTGGGCTCAGGAAACAAAAAGAAAATCAAAAAAGAGAAAAGTGTAGCATGCGTGTAGCATAGGAATAGTCCTACACCGTATCGGTTGTTGACTGTGCGGCTAGTCACGAAAGCGTACGGGCAACCGTACTCGGCGACCGAAACGTGAGGCGGTAGTCTCGTTTGCGTCGCGTGAGCCTGCGATCTCATCCGAAGTCAAAGGCGGCGTGGTCTGCCGATCTGGACGTGAGACTTTTGTCTCGTCCGTAGATAGTGCAGATGACGCGTGCTGTTGACCGGGACGTGAGAATGAGGTCTCAGGTGTATCTCGCGTGGGACCTGAAGATGGTTTGAGGATCCCGCTAGGTTTGATAGGTCAAACATTGAATCTCAGGGTATCAGATAGGGCACTGTCATTGACGTGTGCTGATTTGAGACGATCAATGCTGACGATCTCGACGCGCCCATATCGATCAACCTTGAAGGTCTTTTCGTGACGAGCGATCACGTGAAAAGAGCCTTCGTAAGGTTGTTGCCAAGGTTTGCGTACCGAATCTACTCGTAAGAAAACATGTGAACAGTTAGATAGCTCTCGAAGGAGAGTGACCTGTCGATGTTGTATTCGAGTTGACACCGGAGACAGCGTTCGCATAAATGCAGACAGTCGATGGACGTAGTCTGATTTACCGAAATCAGATCTGCTCCGTGGTGTGAAGAATTCTCCGGGCAGACGCAATGTCGTGCCGTATACAAGTTCAGCGGCGGAACATTGGATATCTGCCTTTAAGCTCGTTCTGACCCCTAAAGAATGAGCGGTAAGGTTTCGTGCCAGTTGCCGTTTTCGTGTGCTCGTAGAGCACTCTTAAGTTGGCAGTGAAACCGTTCAACTTAACCATTTGGTGCTGGTTGGTAGACGGATATGCGTATGCGTATGCATTCCGTACCAAGCAGCCGGGTTAGCGAGGAGAATCCTTAATAGGGTAAAATTTCTCGAATAAAGCGTGGGATTTACCGTCACGCGAATAAAAAGTGACAAGGATTCGGTACACATACGTGGGAGTCTATTACATTAATACTATTCTTATCGTTATCCGTCATGTCGAGATAATATGAAAATATACGACAGACGTGGATAGATAAACAATAGACTCACCAAATTGGCTTCTTTGGAAGATTTCACCAGAGGTTGAGGCGTGTTCCAAACTTTGGGATCACCAATTGTAGCGTGGTGTCGAGTGGAGATTGACTATGAACACCGCTACCAAGAAGCTCGTTCCAAATGACTCCATAAAATCCCCGAGAATTTAAATATCAGAAGGCAATTAATGGACCAAGTCGATGTTTATTTGCTGGCGATCTCGTGGCATCGAAAGGATACCGAGATCGTGCCAGGTTACAAGCTTGGTTACAGAAGGTAACCGAATTCGCGCGAAATTACAATCGAAGTGTAAGAACAAGAATGGAAGCCCAATGTAGCTGTCATTAGCACAGTCAAACAAAAGCACATTAAAACGAACACTGGTACAACTGTTTATAATAATAATTGTTTTTATTGAACCAGTCGTGTTCTCGTAATAAACATGAGTCCATACAGGACCCTCCCGCTAGAAAGGGTTTACACTTTCGATAAATAGCGGTTTAACTCGTGGGACTGATCGGCTGACGAGCGATTGTAGGACGAACGGATTGGCGAACAGGAAAGCGATCGTTGATCGTCGAGTTGCCAACGAAGGTCATTTTCGGAGAACGGTACCAGGAGTGACGTGCTGTACTTGGTACTTGAGTTGGCATGCTACCCGAGTGGTTTGTATCCAGAATCTGAAGATGGCGTTCGTAGGGAATGCGGACCAGAAACGCTGCAGGCGTAGGACCAAACCACGTTGAGCCGAAAGACCAGAAGCGACCGCAACGACCAAGTTCGAGACCAAGCGTGTGCCAAACATTCAAACCAATATATCGACTGAGTGCGTTGACAAGAGCGTGGGTGGCCAGTCCAGCTTTCGCCAAAGTTGACTGAAGTCGACGGAACCAAACTGAGATGGTCGAAGGCGTGGGCTCAGGAAACAAAAAGAAAATCAAAAAAGAGAAAAGTGTAGCATGCGTGTAGCATAGGAATAGTCCTACACCGTATCGGTTGTTGACTGTGCGGCTAGTCACGAAAGCGTACGGGCAACCGTACTCGGCGACCGAAACGTGAGGCGGTAGTCTCGTTTGCGTCGCGTGAGCCTGCGATCTCATCCGAAGTCAAAGGCGGCGTGGTCTGCCGATCTGGACGTGAGACTTTTGTCTCGTCCGTAGATAGTGCAGATGACGCGTGCTGTTGACCGGGACGTGAGAATGAGGTCTCAGGTGTATCTCGCGTGGGACCTGAAGATGGTTTGAGGATCCCGCTAGGTTTGATAGGTCAAACATTGAATCTCAGGGTATCAGATAGGGCACTGTCATTGACGTGTGCTGATTTGAGACGATCAATGCTGACGATCTCGACGCGCCCATATCGATCAACCTTGAAGGTCTTTTCGTGACGAGCGATCACGTGAAAAGAGCCTTCGTAAGGTTGTTGCCAAGGTTTGCGTACCGAATCTACTCGTAGGAAAACATGTGAACAGTTAGATAGCTCTCGAAGGAGAGTGACCTGTCGATGTTGTATTCGAGTTGACACCGGAGACAGCGTTCGCATAAATGCAGACAGTCGATGGACGTAGTCTGATTTACCGAAATCAGGTCTGCTCCGTGGTGTGAAGAATTCTCCGGGCAGACGCAATGTCGTGCCGTATACAAGTTCAGCGGCGGAACATTGGATATCTGCCTTTAAGCTCGTTCTGACCCCTAAAGAATGAGCGGTAAGGTTTCGTGCCAGTTGCCGTTTTCGTGTGCTCGTAGAGCACTCTTAAGTTGGCAGTGAAACCGTTCAACTTAACCATTTGGTGCTGGTTGGTAGACGGATATGCGTATGCGTATGCATTCCGTACCAAGCAGCCGGGTTAGCGAGGAGAATCCTTAATAGGGTAAAATTTCTCGAATAAAGCGTGGGATTTACCGTCACGCGAATAAAAAGTGACAAGGATTCGGTACACATACGTGGGAGTCTATTACATTAATACTATTCTTATCGTTATCCGTCATGTCGAGATAATATGAAAATATACGACAGACGTGGATAGATAAACAATAGACTCACCAAATTGGCTTCTTTGGAAGATTTCACCAGAGGTTGAGGCGTGTTCCAAACTTTGGGATCACCAATTGTAGCGTGGTGTCGAGTGGAGATTGACTATGAACACCGCTACCAAGAAGCTCGTTCCAAATGACTCCATAAAATCCCCGAGAATTTAAATATCAGAAGGCAATTAATGGACCAAGTCGATGTTTATTTGCTGGCGATCTCGTGGCATCGAAAGGATACCGAGATCGTGCCAGGTTACAAGCTTGGTTACAGAAGGTAACCGAATTCGCGCGAAATTACAATCGAAGTGTAAGAACAAGAATGGAAGCCCAATGTAGCTGTCATTAGCACAGTCAAACAAAAGCACATTAAAACGAACACTGGTACAACTGTTTATAATAATAATTGTTTTTATTGAACCAGTCGTGTTCTCGTAATAAACATGAGTCCATACAGGACCCTCCCGCTAGAAAGGGTTTACACTTTCGATAAATAGCGGTTTAACTCGTGGGACTGATCGGCTGACGAGCGATTGTAGGACGAACGGATTGGCGAACAGGAAAGCGATCGTTGATCGTCGAGTTGCCAACGAAGGTCATTTTCGGAGAACGGTACCAGGAGTGACGTGCTGTACTTGGTACTTGAGTTGGCATGCTACCCGAGTGGTTTGTATCCAGAATCTGAAGATGGCGTTCGTAGGGAATGCGGACCAGAAACGCTGCAGGCGTAGGACCAAACCACGTTGAGCCGAAAGACCAGAAGCGACCGCAACGACCAAGTTCGAGACCAAGCGTGTGCCAAACATTCAAACCAATATATCGACTGAGTGCGTTGACAAGAGCGTGGGTGGCCAGTCCAGCTTTCGCCAAAGTTGACTGAAGTCGACGGAACCAAACTGAGATGGTCGAAGGCGTGGGCTCAGGAAACAAAAAGAAAATCAAAAAAGAGAAAAGTGTAGCATGCGTGTAGCATAGGAATAGTCCTACACCGTATCGGTTGTTGACTGTGCGGCTAGTCACGAAAGCGTACGGGCAACCGTACTCGGCGACCGAAACGTGAGGCGGTAGTCTCGTTTGCGTCGCGTGAGCCTGCGATCTCATCCGAAGTCAAAGGCGGCGTGGTCTGCCGATCTGGACGTGAGACTTTTGTCTCGTCCGTAGATAGTGCAGATGACGCGTGCTGTTGACCGGGACGTGAGAATGAGGTCTCAGGTGTATCTCGCGTGGGACCTGAAGATGGTTTGAGGATCCCGC